CGAAGTCAAGCTGGGGTTCCGACTCAGGAAATCTTAGCTCGAGAAAGGCTTCAAGTAGAGAGGCTTCAAGTAGGTAGAGAGATGAGAGTTTCCACTGGGGATTTGAAGGTGCGTTTTCAGATTGTGATTGTGAGTTTAAGCTTTCAAGATTAGAATGTTGATTTGGTTTGTTTTGATTTCAGTGGATTTGGAGATCAGGTCATGCAGGAAAGCACGAGGGTGCATATCAAGCCTGAGAGTGAATGAAAAAAAATAATTGTCGTATTGGGAAGGAAAACAAAGTGATTCATATCCAACCCAAGTGAGTGTCGAAGGAATGTCTGCTACAGTGAGGCGGAAAACACGGGGTCTCACATACGGCCCTAGCGGTAGCGAAAGTATTAGGAAAGATGCTGTGAAAATTTGCAGAGTATTCGCGGAGGATATTTGTAGGAAGGAATCATGTTGAATAAGAAATACTAGGAGGCTCGTATCCAACTTGAGAGCTGATCGATAATTGTCTGCTACACTGGGGAAGAAAACACTGGGACTTATATCCAACCCAAGGTGTAGCTGGAATGTCTGTTACATGAGGTAGGAATGTGCTAGGAATAAATCAAATGTAATAGGTGATAAAGTGATCAGGTTGAGAGGGAATGCTCTGAGACTGATTTCCAACTCAATAAGTTTGCTACATCGGGAGGAAGGCGCTGGGATTAACATCCAACCTACGCGGTGAAATGATCAGGATGAGTGGGAAAGCAATGGGTCTAACTTCCAATTCAAGAATTCTGTTACATCAGGAGGAAAGACACTGAGACTAATTTCCAACCTTACAAGTAGCGCATATGCCTATCACATTAGGAAGAAATGCACTAGGACTAACCTCCAACCTAAGCAGTGACGAAATGATCAGGAGGAGTGGGAAAGCACTGGGACTAATTTCTAACCCAAGAAGTCTGCTACATCAGGAAGGAAGACACTGAGACTAATTTCCAACCTTTAGAGGTAGCGAAAATGCCCATCATATTAGGAAGGAATGCACTAGGACTAACATCCAACCTAAGCGGTGACAAAATGATCAAAAGGAGTGGGAAAATACTGAGACTAATTTCCAACTCAAGAACTCTGCTACATCAGGAAGGAAGACACTGAGACTAATTTCCAATCTTTAGAGGTAGCAAAAATTCTTATCACATTAGGAAGGAATGCACTAAGACTAACTTCCAACCTAAGTGGTGACGAAATGATCAAAAGGAGTGAGAAAACACTGGGACTAATTTCCAACTCAAGAAGTCTGCTACATTAGGAAGGAAGCGCTGAGTCTAATTTCCAACCTTACAAGTAGCGAAAATGCCTATCACATTAGGAAGGAATACACTAGGACTAACATCCAACCTAAGCGGTGACGAAACATAACGATTTTTCAAAACAAAATGATTTTTCAAAATTAAACAACATTTGCAAAAAAAAAAATGATTTTTCAAAATTAAACAACATTTTCAAAAAAAAAACAAAACATAAGACGTTATTTCGAACTTACGGGAGTTTCTCGGAGGAGGTAGCCCACGGTTGCTAACGAGATCTCCTCTGTTTAAATGGGTTTTTCAATTCGTTTAAACTAAGTATGTTCAAAAGAAAATAGTGATACCGGAAGGAGGGAACCGTGGGATCCTAACCAGTGTCGCTCTAATCAACTTGAACCCCCCCCAAATGACAACAAAATTGAGATATTGAAACACACATGGTAAAACTGTTTGAGCTTTAGACTTTAGGATTATTTCTGCGACGAAGAACTCGGAGCAACTTCGTGGGCAGCACGACCAGCACGGGGCAGCACGACAAGGAGTTTGAAGCGAACTACAGGTGGAGGTGGTCGCCATTCTACAATAGCAAAATGAGTCTACACAAACTAAACTTTTCTAGTTTAAACAACCTATAGGATTTTAAGGTAGCTCGCCTAAAGCGACGTAAAACCTCACCCTCTTTTAGGCCCCTGCACAACCATGTTGTGTAGCGTAAGTCCTAACTAGCCTTAAGTTCCGAGGTTGTCGTCCAGAACGACGTAAAACCTCTTACCTCTGCGGGCTATTTACATAACTAATTGTTATGCAAATTTAAGTCCCAAATAATAAAATTGACAGGATTCAACATTCAAATAAAATCCTCTCTAAAGCACAATCACACAACTGGATAGTTTGGGAGGTCACTGAGGATTCCCCTCAGAATCTGTGACATCCCCCTACCTTTTACTTCCTTTGGACTCCTGAAAGGAATGTTCTTACTTGAGTCATTCCCACTTGTTTTTCCACGTCCTACCTTGAAAATCTGAACTTTGAATTTTTGAAGACTAGAACCATTGATCATTATCGAGAGTTTTCTCAAGTAATTCCCGTCACTTGAGATGTAATTAACTATAGGGGCTTGTCTCTATAGGGAACTTGGAACCCAGGTAAAATAAACTCTATTTAATCTTTGTATTAAATATGAGAATTTTTCGGTCACATATAAAAGGTTCGCAGACCAAATGGATGTCACAAATCTCTTAGTTTGCAGAATCGGGTCTATTATCGGGTCTACACTTTTCTCTTGGAATCACTTTTCTCTTGGAATGCTACACTTTTCTCTTGGAATGTGTATTATTCAGGGTGTCAGACACGATTATGCAAATTATTGGACTAATGAGATCCATTCGGTCTCATTTGCTAAAAAATTAAAACTCTATTTTCATAATTTAAACCTTTTACCTTATATATATTTAAATTAAATTTTCACTTCAAAAAAGTTGACCGACAGCGCGTGCACACAAACTAATAAAACTTCTCATCAAACGACAAAAAAAATGACAACTATATTTTTTGAAGAACCATTGATTCAATTTCTCCCTCAATCAAACAACCAACTCTACAGCTTAAATCCCACATGCATGTTCTAATCGAGCATGCCAGAGCAAGATGTAGTGTCACCAGAGTTACTCTTTGAGGGTATTCAAGTGAGGAAGTCATTGTAAATGGAAGAAATTGGAAGGTTCTATGTACGAGAGAGAGGAAAAGGGTTGGGGGAGTGCTTCGCTGGGCTGTTTGTGGACGAAAGCTGTGGCGAGTGAGGTGGCTTAGTCGGTGGCGATGGGGTTGACGAGGAGGGATATGAGAATTGGAGTGAGGGAGAGAGGAGCACTAGAAAGGGAAGGTATCGAAGAATAATGGGAATGGTTGCCTTGGATTCGAGCAAGTAGCAGCGGTGTTGAGTTGGCTGGCATCAATGGGAGAAGTTGATGAGAGTGGGAGTTTGGTAAGAGGGATTCAAATACACGGAGCGAGAGAGGGATCGAGAAGGGTGTGCTGTTGAGAGCAAGAAAGAAAGATTTGTGGGAGCAGACGGATGGAGAGGATGATTTCATAAAAAAATTGAGCCAACCTTTATTTTGTGAGGCCCATTCGGTTTGTACGTCAGTGTGTACGGGATGGAGAGGTGATGAATGGTGATGGGAAAGGTTGCAGACAATAGGTTTATTTTCTATATCAGCTTAATCGATATTGAAATTAAAATATCAAAAAACAGTAGGCAGTTTATTTTTAATTTAATTTAATTTTTTAAAATTCAAAATTCAGAACTCTTCCTGTTTGTGATTAATTTAAAATCGCAACACTAAGCATCCATATGATCAACCTAGCCGAGTAGAAATCCAGACGCCACCACAGATGATCATACACTAATAGTAGAAGGTGCAATAAATATGCTCAACTAATCAGAAGTCGCTACGTTTAAGAAACCGCAATTTTAGCACAATAATTCAAATACACTGCCAGATGGTTAAAGAAACCAATCTACAACATACACCGTCCTGTAGACAAATCGGACGTTTCTTTTCAAGTTTTGCTATTGTTTTTCCTTAGTTATAAAGTATATAATCCTATAACCAACTGCTCAAAATTTAAGGATAAAACTGGCAATAACGAGCCACCCATTGACCATTGAAGCACTGGATGAAAAATTTTAAATCACATAACTATAAAGCCAATAGCCTCTGGCGAAGGATAGAAAATCATAACTGCAGTCCGCTGCCCTGATTAAAAAAACTGCAGCTTCAATCCAAAATTAATACGTGGACTAATAGATTATGTCAAGTTCCACCACCAGAAAATAGTTTTACATTAGATCTTCTTATCACCTAATATTCTTGAAGCACCCCTTTATTTACTCGTTAAATTTTAACTTTCAAAGTTAAATTCTCATCTATTTCTTAATTCTTGCGTATTATAGAACCAAGTCACTTAATTCCATTTTATTTGAATGTTACTTTATTTTCTAATAATGTCAATTGATTGTCATTAATATTAAACCGTCTAAAATTGCATTTCATATAATCAATCTTTGGGATACCAATTATGATCCTTTTATATTGTAAACATTGTTATTAATTTTCATTTATGCCATTGAATGTCTTATGAGTATAACTATTTATTTACAAATAGCTTATTACTAAGAGACTTCACTTTGGTTATCTTTTACATACATCTTCATAGCTAATATGTACTCAATTTAAAGCACTGGAAGTAGTAAAATTACCCTACTTCCCTCCCATCTCTTTGTAAGTTAGTTGAGTAAATCTTGTTTTTTTTTCATCACTTTAGAAATCTACTGCAAAGTTAGTAGAGGGTCAAATCAGATGCATTTAAATTGCAGGAATTTCTGTACAGGCATTTTAAATACATCAAACCAAATAACCTCTTTATATTTTTAGTTTTGTCCGTCGTCCATATTTTATTTCCTGTATATTTGTTGATTGCTATGCAGCCAAATGAATATTTTTAAAATTTGGGTTTTTTGTTTTGGGGTTGGTGGTGGTGCGGTTTGTATGTGTGGAATTGCTGCTACATGGTATGTATTTTCTTCTTTCTTTGTTGTAATTTATAAAAGCCTTATTTTTGGCATCATGCTGAATGTTTGTCTTCCTGATTTTTCGTACAACTCGTGCCTTCCATTATAATAACTATTGTTCCATTCTATATCTTCTGTAGGTTGCTTGCATCTGGATTGGATGGTGCTATTTACATATGGGATAGGCGGCTCAGCAATCTTCCATGCCAAAGACTGAATTCTAGCTTTCAGAGCCCTCTTAACAGCATTGAATTAGATATTGAAGATCGGGTTTGAAATGAATTACTTTTTAGGCCTTTAATTTATTTGCATATTTATAATGACATGAACCGTGTTCTATAGAAGCGAACCTCTTGTCTCTCCCATTTCCATTACGACTCTAAACTATTCCTAGCTATTATGCTCTTTTTTGGACATAATTAAGCAGACTTTGCATAGTCCATCATCATGCCCCCTCATAAGTTTTACTATATGAATGTGAAATTACTGTATATGCTTTTTGGATGAATGGTAATTCTTTGTAGTGGTATCTTTCCCTGTTGATGGCTGGTGATAATGATGTTCTGTTTTAGTTTTTACAGAGGCTCATTTTTTTAAGGTATGGCAGATTATTTTTGGAGCTAATCAACAAGGCATCATATGTGCTTGGGATCTTCGGGGAGGCAGATCATCGTTTGCTTTTCAAAGTCATAAAGAGGTGCACTTAGCTCAGTTATATGGCATTTTTATCCTTTACATGTGTGTGTTTGAGATTCTTGTCTAATGTATATACAATTCAACATCATATTTATATTTTTTACAACTTAACTTCTAAATATTGACTACCCCTCAGGAGGCCATCTCATCATTTAATTTGATTAAATTTCTAGTTGTTCATCGGTTTGTTTTGCCTTAAAGTGGTTCTAGAACTTCTATTCTTCTAAGAAAACTCCACTAGGTCTTTATTGTTTATCATGATTAGAAGGTAGATTCCTTTCATTTACAAGCTGTGATTGAACATGGATGATGATGTTTTGGCACTTTCTACATCAACCAGTTAGGTCCCTTGTTTCTAAAAAAAGTACAACTAGATCTCACTTCGTCCACCTTGACCTCCTATTATTTTCTTCCTTTTTTAATCATATTGTTGACTGTTGACATACATGTGATTCACAAGACATCTCAGGTCGAACATGATAAACAAATGGATATAGTTTCACAAAAAAAAAGACTTAAGGTATCCTATTTATCATCCCACCAAATGGAATGACCCAATATAATTAGTGCACCTAAATGGCCAAAATTGACCTTATGTACTACATAAATGTGATGTAGAAAAAAATAATTATTAATTAAAGTTATAAACTGTGAGGAGTGCACGCACATGCTTTAAAAGATAAAGTAATAAGAATAAACTAACATAGTATATATGTGCGTGTAACTATTTAATAATAAAAGTAATGATGATGATGACGACGACGATGATGTTAGAAACGTATATTAAAAATTGAGGCCAAAATAAAATTTAAGAGCCCCAATAGGTATCTTTCTTGATGCATTGAGGAGTTTATTTTGTCCTTTTTATGGGATTTTTTTTTCCGTGTGGAAACTAAATCAACATCTTTATACACTCTTCTTAGCATGATGGATGTGAAAAATGCTCGTTCTGATGCCTCAATTATTACCCATACATGTCTTTTTTAATGTGAAGATGGACATCTCTTGGCTGTGTTGTCCTATAAACGACCTTTACACTGAAATCTGACATTGCTTTCTGATACCTTATTTGCAGGGGTTATGTGGAGGCGCTATTGAATCTACCTAGAAACTTGAACGTTGTCTAAAATATTATTGGGACCAAAATAAAGCAACAAATATGCAAAACAAACTTGTATGAGCTTTCATGGTTTGCTAGTTAAGACACGTGAAAACATTGCCACCTTCTGACTAGCTAAGTTAAAGGGGAAGCCCAATCAGCTACTCAAGGAACCAAGTCACCTCTGTGCATTAATTAGGACTCGACTTGAAACTCTTATTAAAGATAAAATAAAAAAAAATCATAGTCTTCAAAAAAGCAATAATTGGTAGGCAAATTTTTCTCTGTCCCAATGAGCATGATTTGGTACCATATGCTAAGGTTTTTTTGGTGCCAAAATTCTATGCATTCAATATGCTTGATGATATAAAAGCACCTTTGTTGACCAATGACAATACAAGGGGAATGGATGCTTTGCTCTATTGTTAGTTTGTTATTAGATTCATAGAGTTGCTTTTCATATGGTATTTTGAACTTCTCAATGAATCACTTAGAATGTATGCTAAGATAGAAACCATGTTCATAAAACAATTTTGGTGTGATTTAACAAACAATGATCATTAACCTCAGTATAAAACCAAAATTTTACCTTATGAAATGTTCTAAAAAAAGCTGCATTAAGAGTTTTCAGTGAACTGTAGACAAGAATAGCTCTGGCCACTCTTATATCTTGTCTACAACCATTGCTTGGCTTGTTTTCCATTTATCCTTGTTATTTGCTGGTCATGTAAACTTTTTTTACTGAATGTCTCTGCTTTTCTTCAATAATCATATCTTGTAAGATTCTCTTTACTGTATGTATCTTTTTGTTTATTTTCAATCACTTGTCATCATATGAACAGTCAAATTTCTTATCTGTATGAAATTCTCTATCAGGATTGTTGCCCACTTCTTACATCTTTGAAGGTATCGTCAATGTTGGAGAAAATATCAGCTTTAAAGGTATGGTATGTTAATCTTTGTTGATGATTGCGAAATTCTATTATGTTTTGCAATGTCCTTTTTTCTATTATCATCTCTATGAGACCATTGTAACAAGAACGTAGTTCATGGTTACTAACATGAACAATTGTTTTTGTTTTTGTTATTCAATTTGTAAAATTGTTATATGGACCCAGTTTTTTTCTTAAGGACTGTGTAAAATGGCTTGTTAAGCGTCAACATTCAATGGAGAGAACTCTTGATGCATCATCTTTTAGTCATGTTTAACTCGATGTTTAGGTAAGTAGATATTTGAATTATAAATTTGATCTTAGAGCCGGGGTTTAAGTACCTCTGAAAGCACAACTAGATATTTTCATGTCATCTTAAGGTTTGACAAAGATTTTGTATTTGATTCAAATTTACCGGGCAGGCTGATCACAACTAGCGTTGAAATTCTAACTGTAGTTAAGGAATTGCAATTTCTCTAACATCCCTGTGGACACCTGTTTCTTATGATCTCTTTTGTTTGGGAATGTAAAACTTAAGGATTGGGTCATGTTCATTTGGTTTAAGTGCCCATCTAAAGTTTTGTACTTTAATTTTTTGGATTACCTTCAGTGGGCTAGTTGATGCATGACTCTCAAGTTTTTATGATTTTTAATGTTATAATATGCAAAAGAGTATTTGATTACATGGAAAAGTGAGTAATGTATTTTTATGAGACCCAAAATTTAATGCAAAAATGCAAGAATAAACATGCATCTCATAGGAAGGTAAACAAAATACGACAAAAAGTTAAACCGTACCAAATATAATTAATATAAAGAAATAACATTCAATTTATAGTGAAAATCTTTAATCTTCTAATGAATTCGGTTATAAGAAAATAAAATCATAGTAATTGAGATATCATGCCAATAAATGAAGCCAAATTTATTGAAAATCTGAAAACATGCCAATCATATTATCAACCAATTATTAATTAAAGAAAAGAGAAAGTGATGAAAGAATGGACCAAATTATATGCCTCTTATTTGAGTTAAAAGATATTTTCTTCTGTAATGTTTCGATTCCTACAATTGATCAAGGGCTAAAATCTTACAAGGATGAAGAAAAATTCACATGAATAAAATTTAATTTTTTTTCAAGCCAAATTTAGTAATAATCTTTTCCCTCAATTTTATTTATTTGAAAAATATGATTATGAATGCAAAATAGCACAAATTTGGCTCCATTGTGTATAGATGGGTCATCCATCCTTTATTGTACTACAATCCATCTTTATTGCATTATCCAATTAAATAAAATTTGATAAGTTATTGTGTGATGCCTATTAAATGGCAATGGCCAAATACTATAGACTATTCTACCTCCCAAGTCACTCAAAAGCCGCAATGCTTTTCTACTTAGTTTGATTGATATTCTTATTGATGTGTGAGAAACATTCCGTGTTAATATTAATGAGGCTGGATGGTTTGTTAATTTTTTTTGGATAATTGCTTTTGCATTACCTAGTTATTTGTCTTGCAAAAAAAGTATGATATGAGGCAAATCTCCCCGTATTTGATGAAATGATCCTTACCCAATTCAACGCTAATTTTAAATATATTAGTTTTGAAAATAGTAAGAAATATTTTAATAAGCTATTTTCTTCTTTAAAAGACAAAATTGCATGAATCTTTTATTGATCTTCCATAGTAAATTGGGGCAGCATAAATAAAAAAAATGCTTCATAGGCCTTACTCTTTGAGATGAATGTTTCGAAAGTTTATTCATGGGAAGCTGTTTTAATTTTAATAATCTTAGTGTAATTTTGAGTAAATTGGTTTTAATATTAAACACATATTGAAAACTTTTAAAGATTTTTTAGCGTAACATACTTTTAGCCTCTAAAAACTTTTTAAAGTGTTTCTTATGTTCATATTCATCAAAACTATTGAAACACTAAGAGTCTGTTTGGGGAGTGCTGATCCAGATAAGTTGCTGATTAACAGTTGATCTGGATAAGCTAGTTGACTGCTTGATTTGTGCTGTTAAAAACAGTTGTTCTGCAGCTGTTTCTGGATAAATGATCATTCTTCTTCTGTGTTGTATTTGCAACAGAATTATCATTGCATTATATTTTATACTTGAGAAACAAAAAATTAATTCAGAACAATACAAAAAATAACATACAAGGCTCACTTAACAGTGAGTATCAAGATTGCTAAAAAAATTATTAAAATTAAAATTAAACATATGATAATATTAATTTTAAAACCTTGACGAAGTATGTTACGAGCTATGTCTTCTTCTAGTGATACCATCCAGCCCCGATCACTATCGGCAGTGGAATCTGCTGGACTGTCTGCCCACCAGAAGAATTCACACTTCTTCGGACATGGGGACAGCTTTAGAACTTTCTTCGGTAGCTATGTGCTCGATGTGACGCCATTAAGGAAGTTTGCAATCCGCAGTGGCATAACACTCGTCGGGAGGTCTCTGAAATCCTGAAGCTAATCTTTCATGAATGATTCAAAAGACAATCCATTAGTTATAACAGAAGTTGGAATTCTTAAAAGAAGTAATTGATTACATTTTTTGCATGCGTGAGGTTTCAGAGAACTCAGTATACCAACCAACAAATTTGTCACTATAAGAAAACATCAGACATTGTTAAAAAAGAGTTCTTATTTGCCTTTGACTCATTTAATACCAAGCTTGTGTGTGTCACATTAACATATTACAAAAAAGACCATGCAGAAATACCTCAAAAAACTCGATATCAAAAAGAAAAGAGGAACTTGGTTGCTTTTATCGGGATTTCACATGTGACACAAACTGGCAGCGACTAACATGTCATCCAGGAGAACCCACAAGGTTGAACCTCTCATCAAGGACCTCACAAACCCACAAAAAAAGAAAAGTATTCGAAAAAGGAGAAAAAATAATTACAAACAACATAAAACTTACAATATCTAAAATATTAATAATCGATGGAATATAAAACAAATACGGACATGATAAAATAAATAAGAATCGTCTAATCGACATCCAATAATGGCGTAAGTAATTCACTCTCGCAATTCAACCATTTCTGCGGCATTTTCACCATCCTAGGTGTAACCTTATTGTGACTGTGTCTTTGGTTGTGGTATAGATTGATCTATGTGAAATTCAAATGCTTCTGGCTACACCTGCATGGCTGCATGTGATCATCTTCAGCCAGGCTGAAGTTCAAATCTGTTCTAGAAAAATGCCGTCGAATGTATTTGTGGAGACCACTTCAATTGCACCTGTTTTGGAAATGTATACGTCGGGATATCACACAATATGACCCATTTTTTCTTCCACACTCCAAATATTCTTTCAATGACGTCGCGTAAGGATGAGTGACTTTTGTTAAACATTTCATTCTTGCCTTGAGCAACACCGCTGGATCTTTCAAAATCAGGAATTTGATATTTCGTATCTAGAAATAGCTTCAAATATCCCATCCGCAAGGAATATCCAGGATCGATCAAGTAATATTTACCTGTTCTAGATACCATAATTAGTAATCAATTAAAACAACGATTGTGGTTGATAGCTTTACGAACTTGGAGGTGGGTCAGGGAAGTCGTGCCTTGGATTTCTTGTCGCAAAAAACAAAAATACGACTATCATGTGCACCCAACCAACCATTACAATAGTAAATCATATGTTGAAGCCACATACGACTATCATAATTTATGTGGGTGATCTACACTGTCCAATATATGCTACATTTTCAGTGTTGGATACTCGTGCATCCATGTAGGTTCCGTCAATCACTCAAATATAGTTATGTCAGATTAGTTAAAGCTGTGATTGCCGCACAACTCATTTTGACGTCTGAATATAATGTGTTAAAAATAATTACCTTAAAGAATGATATATACAGCTGGTCATTTGCAATATTTGTTGGAGTCGTCCCAAATATTTGATCATCTGGCTTAGTTATCTTTGCCGACAAACTTACAAGAGCTTTCAAACCCACTAAGAACTACTTGTTAATTGTCTTCGATGAATGCTGCAATCGCTCCGTCGCACTTCTCATTGATTCATTCTGTGATAAAATGTAGAGAATTATTGTTAACACAGCTCTTGTTGTTATTCTTGAGGATCCATGGAGTTCATGTTGGCTATGTCATTCATTTAGTAGATCCAACAATATGGATTTTGTCATACGTAACATGTTACTGAATCTTGTGGGATGTCTTTATAGTAGCTCAACGACTCATTGATAACCAATAAAAGTCGATGTCATGCAGGGAGTTCGATTGACGTTTGAGTTGTAGTATTCGTACAACAAAACCATAACCGCCACATTTTTTCTTGTAAGGCTCAGTCGCTGTGCATCCATTCTAGAGAATTGTTCTGTTTAGGTAATAAGTGCGAATTAAACAACGTTAAAAAGAACATAAAAAAACTGAAGACGGATTAGAATGAACATAATTAATTACAGAGCAGCATATTAACCTCTTCATGAATATCTATGTGTCGGTTGGGTCCTCCTACAACTTCAAGGAGTTCAGATAGAAGGACTTGTCCAACCTAACTTTAGGATATGTTTCTAGAACTCGAAGAAAGTTGTCTATTGAGGTGTCATGTGAAGTACCGGCCTGAATTGTGCATGCTTTTACCAACTTTGTTATTTTGTTTCTGACGAAAGCAGCTCCATTTTTTTTTTTTTTTCTCCACCCTAGGCCGCTTTGAACGACATGTGGACTCTAGCTTCTTCTGGTTTAGGCTGGGGCCTTCACCTGACTCACTTTCCTGCTTCCAAACCCATGCTCACTTGGGTTGAACACATGCGTGCCCGTCACATCAATCTTACTGAACATACGGTTCAACTTCTCCTCTGGGCTCGATTCAATGCCACTTAATTTGAATTTCTTAGCGGCTGACACTGCCTGCAACATACGAGAAAATTTATTTCTTAAAACAGATTAGATGGATAAAGAATGAGAAAACAAGTCTTTAGGGGTTTGTTTATTGCCTCCAATTTTTCAGTTAAC